TTTTTTTTTCTGGAAAATAAATTCTAAATCAGGGATAAGGGTAAAATATGTTATTTACAATATGCCTAAGATTCGGCAAATGACGAGGCAATACTTCAAAAGATAAAAAGAATTGCAATCAGTGTACCACGTGACAAAGTTTTTCTTTGCCTGTCATTGACAGACTAAAAATTTTTTCTCTTTTGTAAAATTGTTAACTTGAGCTTGACTTTTACTTTTCGCTTTCTCTCCTCCCCTCTTTTTTCGCTTTTCTTGCCTCATTTTTTTTTCTCTTGCTGGGCATTTAGTAGGCTTCATTTTGGTGGGAATAGTTTTTAGGAAAGCTTTTAGGATCTTAGGATTAGGTGAAAGAAGAGGTAGGTGGGCAATGGAACAAGATTTTCATGGAGATTTTCAGGTCAATATTACATGGTTTTTTGCCTCTTTCTCCGGTGTCCTTGACTGAATTGTGCTCATTCTGGTATGGTTTGAAAGATCTCTTCACTCTGCACAAGTTAGCTGACAAAGTTGTCCTTGACCGTTAAAACTGATGACGTCACAAAGGGTAGAAAGGACGTGGATCTGCACAGGCGGTTAGGGGCGGTTCAGGGGCGAATGGGTTAAAATGAAATTGAAAATACATGAAAAATGTTTTCTGCTAAGTTCCTAATGAGTAAGAGGTTGCTGCTGGAATAATTGCAGAACGACGAGCAATCTTGGTCGACTTTCATTGATTTAGGTAATGAAGCGCTCATTTTACTGACTAGGGTTAAAAAGCACTCATTTCACAGATTAGGGTAAAGCGCCTTTTAGGGTTTAAGGGGGTTAAACTATCCTCAGAGAGTTGGAGCCTGCGTTGAACACGTAATTTAATCTCAGTTAGTAACGTCAGCGGATGAGCACCGATATCGTTGTTGTATGCCCCAACGGACTCAACAAAGGGCATTTAAAATTTCCTTTTATCCTGATTGGCAGACGGATTTAACCAAACTCGTTCCAAGGTTCTCTCTCGGGAGAGAACCCTGGGAACGAGGTTGGAATGGTTGGGACTCAACCAGAGTTAAGTTGTGTCTGGGGGAGCAGGCTAGGAGGGTAGCAAATCCCATGATCATTGCTTTTGCTTTCGCCAAGTTGAGGTCACTGGACTTTTTCTTATCAATCGAAGCATGGATTTTCAGGCGAAACACGTCTCTCTCATTAGAAATAACTTACGATTTTCAGGTCCAGGTTCAGGAGCATCGTATTGAGGAACATACCGTAAAATTCCGAAAATAAGCCCCTCCATGTATAAGCCCCTCCAAATGTAAGCCCCTCCAACCTCGTAACGCAAAAAACCCTCTGTTAAATCGCCCCTGCAAATATAAGGCTTGTACTTGGATATTGCCCTCAAAGCAAAAACAGTAAATTTCCTTCCAACTATAAGGCTAGCCCAATCAATTCTGAAACGCAAATTTCCCTCTGTAGATAAGCTCCTCCGAATATAAGCCCCTCAAAAAGGGCCTTTGAAAAATATAAGCCCCAGGGCTCATTTTCGGAATTCTACGGAATGGGGGCATTTCAGATGGCTTGGCTTTTCTGTTTCTTACATCCCATATGGGAGATAATCCAATAACAATTTAGACTGCTTGTCAGCCCCCTCCCCTCCGACATGAATCACTTCTGATATTTTACATAATTTTCAATCAAAATTGTAACTTTCAGTTGCACTTCATTAGTTAAATACTACGTATGTAAATACTACTTTAAAATCAACTCTCTCCCAGTACCCAAAAATTCTACTTTTTACTGCAACACAAATAATAGCTCTTGAAAGTAGATTTCAATATGGTTTAACTTTCTGAAATAGGTAGCATGAAATAAATTAAGTTTTTGTGTTGTTCTCCACTGGTTAGCTAGTCATGTACTTGGAGATATTTATTTTTTGGCCTATTTTTTTATTCACAAAAAATTTGTTTGGAAATTGTGACCACCCCCACCCACCCCACCCAACAAAAATTAAAATTAATCTCCTGGGTGAAACATTTTATACATTATTAAACACTCAATGTCCCCTCATTGCACATAGTTTGTTTCTCACTGTCAAGAACATCACTACAAGCAGTTTCCAGCAAGGGTAGCTCATCGGCATTCTTTAAAAGTTCATGAGCTTTAGAATCTCTCAAAACAAAAATAGTAATGCCCGATTTATATATAGCAGGGATGGTAATATGTGTCATCAACAGCTCCTTGTATTTGATCTCATTACCATGGAGTAGTAGTAAAGTTTCCTCTTTTACCATAAGATCAATTTGCTCCTGCACATTCAATTCCTTCCATCTATCTCCCTCTGAATTCCAACACAAGTAGTCAAGGGTATTGTTCCATCTTTGCAACACATCATTACGACGAATAAGAAGCACTGAATCACTACAGAGCTGTTTGGAAACAACACCAAATGGAATCACTTCATTTGGGTTAATGAGATGTACACCATTCTTGCTAACACCACAAATAACTTGGTGATGCCAAGCATCTGGGATTGTTCCATCTGACAAACGGACCTTTTGACAATTGAGTGTTGCCAAAGGTATCCCACCATTACTAAGCCAGTATTTTAACCAGATTGACAAGTCAAAGTCACGAGCAGGGAACATGTGAAAAAAATGTCCGATAACATTACCCTGAGACAACTTGTCAAGACCCTTGATAAGGTCAGTATGTGTTGTTCCTGCTACACTGCGCGACAAGAGGTACTGAGGTAAAGGAGCGTCAAGATCCCTTAATTTTGTGTCGACAGCTTTAATGGCAGCATCAACCACTGCATTCTTTCCAAGCAACTTCTGTTATAAGACAATATTAGAATTATAAGCTCATCAGTAGACCTGTTTAATAGCTAGCATACATTACTTTCAAAGTACAGGTCATGTGATGTTTTCAAGGGAATGATTCTTACCTTTTTTGCGAACATTACATATACTTTGAATGGGAGAAATTTACAGGGCCTCAATATATTAAAATCCTAACATGATTTTGAGGCTTTCTGATAAAGATTTCTATATTTAGGTTGGTATTCTTTAGCTCCAGTCTCTCAGTTTGGCAATTTGTTCCTAAAGCTTCATAGTCATGTTAGAATAATTTTAATACAGTTGAAACCTCCATTAGGCGGCCTCTCTCTATTAAGTGGCCAGAATTGAAAATCCCAAACTAATTGTAGAAAAGAATGGGAACTTAAACCTCTATTAAGCAGCCACCTCTATTAAGCTGCCATACATAGCCACCTTTTGGCCATCCTAGAGAGAGTCCTCCCATTTTAGTCACCTCTATTAAGCGGCCATCAAGCACTTGATACATGAATCATAGACTTAGTCTGGCTTTATTTTAAGAATATGATGAAGTAAAATACAGTCCGAGATTGAAGGTGGCGACTGATCATGGACCAGTAATACTGCTCTGTCGCGTGTTTGTTTCAAAATAAAGTGATGTTTCTGCTATGATTACGCTCATGTTATGCTTATTTATGGTGAACCTCTGTTGTGCGCCTAACCTCCATTAAGCAGCCACTTGGCGGTACCCCAAAGGTGGCTGCTTAATCGAGGTTCAAATGTATAAGCTTATTAAATGTTCGCCTGATCTTGTCTTTCTCTCTCCATATTTTACCGATTAATGTAAATAAATAACTAAAAAGCTAAATAAAAGTCTCTGTTTTTAATGAGATAAAAGCTACATAAGCTTATCTTATTTTACATATTTTAAAAATATCACAGCCGGCCAACAGCTGAGAAATTAAAAATAAAAAAACATGGTGGTTCGTAACGTGTTAAGGTAATTTTGTTTCTATATGTGCGTGCTAATACTGCGTAAGGTTTTACTTCTTCTTCTTTCTGCATTTTGGCTGTTTTGATTTTCTCTCGGAGACTGGAAAATAGATAAACTTATATGAACTTAAGGTGAATTTAATAAAGTGTTTCTTTTTTTTTTTTAATTTTTGCTAATTTCAGCTATTTTGTAAAACTTACCAACACGTTCAACGCTGCAGTAGCCCCGCAGGCTGAGGCTCCAACTTGTTTAATTTGTTTATCTTCGGCCTCATCCTCGTCCCACAGAACTACTCTCTCCGGAAACTTATATATGTCTTTTCTGTCTGCAGGCCAGTGAAACGACGAATCTGCCGCCATTTTGGTTTGTTTTTACATCAAAACAAATTTAGGGAGGGGTGGTTACTTTTAAGGTGAAAAGAAGCGGTCGAGAGGCTTCCCACTTTTAAATTGTATTTTACATTTTTGGATTTGAAAATTAAAGGTCAAATATAATGCAAAAAAAAATTCCTCTTCCGGTTTGATTTTCGAGGTTTTCTCTAGGAAAGCAGAAACGGACTAACCCTGCCCTAGGGGACCCGTCCCTGGGGAGAATTTCTTCGCCCGACAGCGAAAGGCTGGAGAGAGGAGGTAAGTACTTCATATATGATTATTATAGTAAGTGAAAAGAAAATGGCGGAAATGTTATAAAGTGGCTTTTGTTACGTTTGACTCGTGTTATTTCACCTTATCAAAATGGCATTTTCTCCCGTAAAATTGTCAAAATTTGGGTTTCTTTATAATGGACTTTACATCAGCTGTCGTCACGTTTCGAAATGGATTCCCAGCTCCCTCAGAACTCTTTTGAATATTGATAGTCTTCAAGCTCGTCAAGTCGGCGATCCCATCTTACGAGAACAAGCAGAGATTGTAGACATTTCAACTATCCACTCCCCCGAATTTAAGCAGATGGTGGAGCGAATGTTCAAGGTTATGAGGAAAGCGAAAGGTCAGGGAATCGCTGCCCCTCAGATTGGCGTTGGGCTTCAAGTATTTGCAATGGAGTATACAGGACAACACATGAAGGAATTGAAAGATCAAGGATGCAGTGATAAAGAGATGAAGCGCATGGGTATTGCACTAGTTCCACCAAGAGTGTTTGTAAACCCTGAAATTAGGATAATTGACTCCACTTTGTTGGCATTCCGCGAGGGGTGTTTAAGCATAGAGGGTTATTCTGCACTTGTACCCCGAGCTAAAGAGATTGAAATTACTGCTTTGGATATGGAAGCTCACCCTATCACATGGAGGACTATGGGTTGGCCAGCAAGAATCATTCAGCATGAGATGGATCACTTAAAGGGGAACCTGTATATTGATACTATGATGTACAAGTCATTTATGAAAAATGACTGGGGAAATTACATCAAAAAGTAGTAAAAGTAACAAGAATTTAGTGTTGATAGGGGCCGGCCAGTTTGAGAAAGCTTAGGAGATTTTCAAACTGACCCTCGTTTCATCCTAACTTTTTAAAATTCACCTATACATATTTTTACATTGGTAAGCCTGTGGTGCAGACGAATGGTCGTTCAGGCGGTTCACGGTCACATGATTACCAAATTTTCGGGGATGGATAGATTTTCTTACGCATGGTGCTCCACTTCGCATGCAAGAGAGCTCTGTTATTATGTCTTAACTGATGACAGTCTCAGTCAGGGCCCAGTTGTTCGAACACTGGTTAGCGCTAACCCAGGGTTAAATTTTAACCCGGGTTCGCTTTCTTTTTATCAAAAGCACTCTGTCAGATAATTTTCTCTTCTTTTTACAGTATCCAATCATCAAATTGTAGGCAAAGAGAATTTTACTGAATTTGCTTTTTAAGCTCTCATATCTGAGTTCAAATTTTGCACTAACCCTGGGTTACCTTAACCCAGCTTCAAACAACCCAGCCCAGGAGCATTAGGCCTGGCTGACTTTCATTTCTGCATATCCTGAAAATTGCATGCATGACTAATAGGTGCTGACCTCACCAACACTCTGAGCTCTTAAGCTTTTTAGCTCACTCCAATAACGCATAGTTTATTACAAGTGGTTGAGTGATCAATCCAAAAATTTGTAGGCCCCAGCCTACAGGTCTATGGCCTGGTAACACCCCTGTCAGTTAGACTTTCAATATATTTACTGGACCATTTGGTCAATTATCTAACCATGAATAATTTAATTAAACCCAACTACACCTTTTCTTTTTGTCTTCTTTTGCTTTGTTTTTTCCTACACTTATGTCAAAATTTTTGTACTAGATTGACTGTTATAAGATGATGGAGACCTGATTTCAGAAAATATTTTATTATAAAAATTATCATACAGTCAATAACTTGAACCCTAGCTAACTCAAACCTCACACTAACTGCAATTGAAATCGATTTCCCCCGGATTTCCTTGATACATTTACTATACTTTTACCTTTGGAAACTCACACCCTCGATATCTTGAACGTTTTGGTAACTCAAAGTAATTTTTTTGTTTCTCTTAAGACCAATTCTATAAAAATTTACCCTCAATAACTAGAGCCATGCTTTGAGCACCTGGCAAGTTGAAAAGAGTGTATTGCAGTCCAAACATTAAATTTAAAATATTTCAAACAAATTTTTGTATTCTCTGTCTTTCCTTTTTGTCAGTCCAGTTTAAATACACTGTCCAGCCATAAGTATTTATCAACTGAAGCTTTGAATTGTGCACGTTACTTGCATCCCTTCCCCATCCCATTTCCTTATTTCCAGTTCCACTAACTCAAACTTTTTTATTTCCCTAGAAGGTTTGAATATCGGCAGTTGACTGTATTACTTATGTCTTATTCAGTCTATAATCATGTTAATATGATGACCAGGTAACAGACGTCCTGTTCAACTATGACAATGGCTGGCGATAAGAAACTTGCATGGCCAATCTTCCATTGGTTTATCCTGCGAGCATAGGTTTCTCTCTTGAATGGGTTCTAGCATTTACGAAGTCAATCACGTGGCTTGTCTGTCGCATAGCTGGTTTGTTTTACGCCCTGTGAGAGACAACTTTGTTAACACTAAAATTCATGGAAGAGAGAAAACTCTGTTCACAGGGTATCATTGGTTGAGAAAATGTTAACAAAAGTCCCAGTTCGAAATGAAAAGGCACTAACTGTGCCAGTCCTGTAACAGTGCACATAAATCAGGGTTCTTACTTAACTGCCCAATCCTATCTAGATTCGTTGACTTTGAACATTCAATCACTTTTTCTTCCCTTGGTCCTTGGTACATTTGCAGTATTTTTCAGTTTCTCCACAGCAACTCCAAATGCGTCCATCTCGGCAGCAAGGCCATCCAGCCATGCCGCATAGGCAGTCATCTGCATGGTAGGCAAATATCCCCGTGTGTCCGTTAACAGGTCGACGCTTTTTACGAGGATTAGCCGCCTCCCAGTAATGTTCTTGTACTTTCATGAATCCAGGTGGAGGTGACCTTGGTCGTTTCTCTGCCATCTGCAAAACACCATGAACAAAAAAATGAACTTTCAAAAACTGTTAGGCTAACAAGTTTTCCAAGCCCCAATTGGAATCCATTTTTATTAATCTTCTTCGAGTTTGTCCATCCATGCCTTCTTCTTTATTATTTGACGTGTTATTAACACCTTCTTTTAATGTTGCTGCCGTTCACGCTCATGGATGGTACTTTACAAAACGCATGCTCCTTGAATTGTTAACTGACCATTTCTTGAGCCCGCTGAGGCCCGTGTATTTCTTTAGAGAACATCCCTTGTCAATACAGTCACATTTACTCAAGCTAAAAAAAAGTAATTACAAAGGGATGAACTGCAGGAAATTGCACTCCAGTCCAAGGAGAAACAAAATGGATTTCATCAGTGCCTATAGAATGATCTTGACTGATTCACAGCACAACTAGTGCAGCTTCAGGGTTCTCATTAAGTGCCAGCAACTGGCTTGGGGTAAATGGATAGAGTGAAGGAGTGAAAGCCTTAAATTGCCTACAGCACTTGACTGCCAAGCCGCCTACTCTCACATCCTGGCTGTCTACTTTAAAACTTAATGAGAACCGTGAGCTTCAGCTTAGTGCTCCTACTCAGATCTGATCACTATCCACAGCTGCTATCCATGAGAATTCAACATCCTGCAAACTATAATTAAGAACTTGGGAAAAGCTAGTTCAGAAAACCCGTCCACTTTTCAATATTTAGTGCTAAAATTGGCTGCTTACATGGTCCTGCAGAGGAAAGAAAGCTTTCATGCTGTATGTATTCTTGTTCACCCGCTTACTAGACTGTGAAATTTTATGCTTCTAAGCATTGTATTTTGATAATTTTAATTTAATTGTGATTAACCTCGTCTGTACTTTCGTAATTATTGTATATCTTGTATCTTTATGTCATTAGAATAATACATTTTGAATTCATTAATGTAATTAATCTCTGTAATTTCGTAATTATTGTATATCTTTATGTCATAAGAATAATATTGTATATTGCAATAGACACGTCTCCATACTACCTGCCTCAATTAGCTCCGCTATTTTGCAGGTAGTCTGTATTCGTAATTTATTTATTGTGAATGTAAACAAATAAAGCTTGATTGCTAGTGTCAAAACATAGCAGAAAATACAAATCATCACATTCATGAGCAAAAAAGACTACACGCATGTAGCTATTCAGATCCAGGCACTTTGGAGAAAACCAGAGATACTAAAACCTTTATTGAAGGGTGATTTAGCCACAATAAAGAGTTTAAAGCTTTAACAGATTGAGAGGTCACGTAAAATCAGTACTAAGCGGCATCTGAGATTAAATCCTGTCAGAATCAAACCACAATATGCATCAGACTGGCTTCACGACCTCTAAATCTTATTACTAGGAACAGCAAAAATAAAATATTTTCCCAGGCAAAGTTAAAATGCATACTCCCAGCACTGTGCTCCATGCTTTTTGCAAAACCTACGCGAAAGAAAGAAAGAGAGAAAAGAAGGAAAACCTCCAAGGACAAGTTTTGCACTATAATCACGAGCTGATGAGTTCATTTAGCCTGTCAACACCATATTTCAAACTTGATCATGTGCTAAAATTTTCAGGAATTGTTGGTTAGGTCTCAAAGAAAACTAGACGCATGCTTAATAAAGTCCGTCTCAGGCCATGGCAGAGGTCTTTTTCCCTTCTGCCTGCAGAATACCAGGGAAAAGAGGCCTTTGTTAGAAGGGACTAAACACATCACCACTTACAATACAATGCCATCTGAGGATGAGGCAGTACAGCCACCACCCCCCCCCCTCCCCCACCGCATCCAGATCCCCATTTTTTTCCGGAGGGGAGCCTTCTTCATCTTATAAAATAAAATTGGACTTTTGGTTAGTGTTGATGGTAACAGGTCATTAAATTCTATTACAGTGATACTGGATTCAATCCATCACTGAAAAACAGCATTGAAATGAAAAGCAGAGTTACTTCACGATCAGACCTTTTTTGAGCTCCTCGGAGTACGTATGCAGGATATTTCCCAGACACTTCTGACCCCTTTTCTATCGGAAGGCTTTTAAAAACGAAGCATAACAGAGTGAAACTTTTCTTTCGTATATTTCAACGAGACACCTATAAAACGCCCTACCTTTAGTCTAGAAATCAAACGCTTCTACGAATGTCGTCGCTAAAAGCTGCTCAGATCACGACGATTCCAATATAATGGCCACCGAATGTAGGGGCCCCTTGAGGGGTCGGGTCATTTTGGTTTCTTTGCTACTCCGCTGGTCTATTTGGATCGGCTTCTTCACAGTCATGACACAGGAATACCAATCGATTGTTTCAAACAATGCAGACGCAATTAAAATATGAAAACAAGTCGAACTCATTAAATCACCCTCTTGATTCTAGCAAAAGAGAAACCTTGGAGCGCAAAAGTTGTCAGCCCGCGCAGTCGAGATTCTGTCAGGAACACAAAAACGTTTTTGGCCAAAAGCATACTGTATACAGTTTTGTTGAGTTCGTTAAAATAAGTCAGGAGAATAAATGCCTCTCTCGACTCAAATAAACGCCTCCTATCTATTAAACGCCCTCTCTTAGACCCCTAAAATTAAATAAACGCCCCGGCGTTTATTAGATCATTTACGGTAACTATGTTATGTTACCCCTGTCTCCCTCTCATTTTGGGCAAATACCCAGGCCCTATTAGTTTTCGCCGAATATCAGAGTACTATTGACGTTACCTAAGGTTACGTTCACACGCAGGTCACCGGACGAATTTTCGACAGGCTGAAAAATTTGACCGGACACTTTGTTTACACTGAGCCGTTCAATATTTTTGCTCTGTTCACACGGAGCTTTGAATGGCTAGGCGTCTAAATTTTCGTTCAGTTAAGGTGTTTCCGTGTGAACGCTAAACCGTGAAACGCAAGAATTTTCAACCGGTGCCTCATTAGAGCGATTTTCGTATGACCTTGAAAAATGGTTTCAGAAAGCGTTCGTTATTTGTTTTATCACCCAACGGATGAAAGATCAAAACATGGCCTCTTCGTTTTCCCGCCAAAGAAAACCCAATATGGAGAAGGCCTGGGGAATGTTCGATTGGCTAATCGTGTTACAGTATAAGGTCAAAGCGAAGTATCGGTTGATTTCTAGAAAGTTCGCTTAACAAAACAAAAGCCACTTGCGTTTTCATCCATTCGATAAACCAATCAAATCGCTCTATTCCCGTTCCTTTTTTGTTTCTGTTTTGTTCGCGCGTTTTCATCTCAAGGTCATACGCAAATCGCTCTAAAAAAGAACGAGGGAAAACACACTAATTTTTTTTTGCAATGTTCCAATTTCTTTTAGAATACACGCGCGCGCGCTTTTCGTCAGCAATTTTTCATTGTTTAGTCACAGCGGATTCCAGGCACTTTCAGTTGTTTGACTTGTGACTTTGAAAGTACGTACACCGTACGCGTTTAAACGATAAGAATGCATCCGTTTGGGGAGACGCCCCAAGATTGTAACTTTCATGATCAACAAAGAGAGAGAAACGGTTTAGAATGGAAATTTGCCTCAAAAGCATGCAAGCTTCAGTTGACGGAGAAATTTAATCTTCCAATTATTCAACCAACAGTGATTCAAGCTTTACCAAGCTTTCACCAAGCGCTTCCAGCAAGTCGGCGTTTCTTAAAAGAAAAACGATGCCCACCGAACAGTCCAACCAAAGAACGAAGAGCAGAAGCAAAACCTTTAGATACATTAGCCATGGGCCGGGTTTTGCCGAGCCTTCCAAGGATTGAGGATAAAGTTCTGCCGAACGTAGCAAAAAGAACAATTCCTTCATCGAGGCAGCTACCGATTGTTCCGACAATCCCAGAACGAAGTTTGCCGAGTACACAGTTGCCAGAGATAAAGTTGCGCACCAGAGTAAGAAAGATGAGACGAATATTGCCGATTATTCCAGCGTCACAGACACGAACTCCTCCGAGTATTCCACTGCCGGAAACACGAGATCCGCCTACAGATCCTCCTAGTATCAAACTCATTGCAGTAAGGCCACCATCAAAATGGCGAGGAGCTCCTCGCCGCAAGCGATTGCTACCAAGCCTTCCAACGATTGAAGAACAAAATTGTCCAGATTTTTCATCCAATGAAGCAACAACAACCGAACAAGAAACCACGTCACAAGAAAAGACGATACCTTACAGTTTACAGCACAAACGAAAATCGCCTTTGAAAAGTCTTCAAAAAAAAGGAAATGATCTGCAAAGTAATTTGGAGAATATACGGATGATTAAGCCACTGAAGACTAACAACGTTCAACAGACTACGAAGAAGTTAGCGAAAGACGCCAAGAAAGCAATTCAAACAAATGAAAACAAAACGCGTCCTAGCCTCAAACCCATAGACAAGGAACTCCCTCCTAGCCCTGAAGCAAAAGATTTGAAAAAGGAAGATCGATTATCCAAAGACAAAGAAGCAAACCAGTTCAAAGAGAGAGAAATCTCTATTGGGAATCCACACATAAAAGCACAAAAGGATTCTGAAAGACTAATCGATCAGAAAGTTCCAGTGCCTCAGCCGATAAGAACAGCTGAAGTGATAGGGGATTACCCAAGCGGAAAACAAAGTACAGGAGTAAAGAGTTTTTCTAGAAGCACCTGCTTGGCATCAAAAAAAGTGCTATCGAGCTGTAGTAGAAGGGACAGACAAGCCAAGCTAGATACTCCACAAGCGGCGGACCAGTTGTTATCCTCACTGTCAACAGATAAACAAGGAAAAACTAGCTATCAAGTTTCAGAAGACGGGGCACTGCCCCGTCTTCGAGCTAAAGCAAAACTTATTAAAAAGGGTGGGGAATCAAAGGCTGAACAAAAACTTTCCAGTTTCGGGAAAAAAGAGACTCTGGTAAACACAGCAACTACAACGACATCAAACGATAGCTGTCATAAACGTGCACATTCACCCACCTCCAAGGTATCAGGCGTGAGGGGCACGTGGTCTGAATCGAGAGAAATAATGCCAAGACGAGAGCCACACCCAAAAAGGCAGAATGCTTCAGAAATGCCTCAGAAGATAAACCAAAATCGCACAAACCTTTCATCAGTAAATAGTTATGCATTGTTGAACCGCATGAGGAGAGATTCAGAGGCATCTCTGCGGAGTACTGTGCAGCAACGAAAAACCGTTTATAAGCCGAGCTTTCAACAAAAGGTGGCTAGTCAGGGTGGTGTCACCCCATCGTCGTCAAACAGTTATTCGTTCTTAAGGCTTAAGAGGGAAAATTTTGAGACCCTGCCACGACTTAGCCTTATAGCAAACAGAAACCGCACTGAGTCCCGCCCTTTAGCAGAAACAAGAAACAGCTTGACAATAAAACCAGCCTTACCATGTATTCAGTCCACGCATGCGCAAGAACCTAAGCCTCGAACAGTGGTTAAGAAAGGGCTACCAAGCGCTCGTGCGAAAGCTCAAGGCAGATGTCATATTAGAGTGAGTCATCCATTACCGGATATCCAACCGGTTGTAACGCAGGCTTTACCGAACCTTAATTCATCAAGTTTGCAAAAGTTGGTAAAGAAACCGATACCCAGCATTGAAGGGGAAAAGGATTCCTGTTCTCCAGACGGCAATGCTCATACGGCACGATAGTGACTTTTACACTCCAGCCATTTGAGAAAGAGACTAAAGAAAGTTTAAATAGGGTTTGCTTGTTAATTGAAGGAAACTAAGCAAACTGCTTTAGTTTCTTAAAAAATTATTATTATTTTCCTTAATATGTCGCACAAATATTACCGATTCAGCTCGGTCTATAACTCAGCAAACATTAATTTGAAAACAGCGCAGGACCTTTTTTTTAGCTTCAGCGGCCTTAAAACAGGGAAAGGATTTATTATCTTGAATCTAATTTAATTTACCGAGAAATTGGAGAGCCAGTTCAATGGAATATCAGTGCAGTTGTAGTTAAGCAGCTACAAAAGCAAATTCTCTGGCGAACAGCGCGGTCCAACACCTTAGCTCTTCATAACTATCATTTCAATTATCCCGGTCCTTGCTCAACCTCTGTGTGCTTCAAATTCTATACTTAGCGATCTTCAAGCGAGAATCAGCCGGACATTGTCGAGTTTTCCACGATGACTACTCGGCAGAGTTCGGTTGATTCTCGTTTGGCATGTCGTAAATAGTATTTTTGATAGCTTGAAAATGAAGACTGTACACTTGATTTAAAACAAAAGGGGTTCTAACTTTATGTACGCCGGTTGCCAGAAATAAAACAATTTTAGAAACCTATTGAGATACTTTCCTCTTCTCGCGAGAGGTGCTTTTCATGAGCGTTTTTATGTATTATACTCGCCCTACTTATCCTGCGGAAGATAATAGACTTAACTGGAAGTGTAGAGTATTAGCCTTTTTGACTTGAGTCTGGCCGGGTCGGTGTTGCAATATAAGGCTGCTTTATGGACGCTATCACTGCTTTTACTTGAGCAGGGAACTGGGTCAAAGTTCGTGCCCTCTTATCTAGTCCCTAGGCCTCATATTTTCGCCCGGCCTATGCGTGCCGGGCCAAGTGGTTCGAGCGAATTAAAACGGATTAATCGAAAAAGCCTCGGAAGACGTAGTCTAGGCAACGTCCCCCTCCCTCTCCCTCCCTCAAAATATATAGGTTATTTTGACACAACAGCAATCCTGAATGACTCAAGCGAAATATTCAATTAACCGCAGATGTTAATTTTTTTGTTCATGCGCACCAACGATGACAATCTTGAAAAATGACTGTCAAAAAATTACAAGTGCGTCAAGTCTTTCATCCGAAAATAGGGAAAAAAACCTTTCTGATGCCATTCGATTCCATCATCGTCAGCTACTGATGCTTGCAAAACAGTGTGTAGCGTCATGGAGTACTCTGTGTGCTTATTTATTCTTGTGAGCTACGTTGAAATTGCACACGCCAGAGTGTTCTCGGCTGATCTAAATGCACGTTCCGTGAATCGCCTTCCAAGGGATGTGCAAAATACCGTGTTAACACCGCTACGTTTTCATGTAGCGTCCAAAATATCTGCACGGTTTGCAAGTACACTTGTGACAAGTGTCATGGAGAACAGATCTCCACAGAGCAAGGAAGCTTTGTTTCTTGTTTACCTTCCTCAAGCTGCCTTCATCTCCAACTTCTCGATGGTAGTTGGTGGCAAACTATACCTTGGACAGGTGAAGGAAAAGACTGCAGCTAGAGAGGAGTACGAAAACGCGAAGAACAATAGTTTAAATACAGGGCTTGTAAGTCAAAGTAACGACCGCGCTGTACGAGGAATGGATAGATTTGAAATCAGAATTAACGTGGCACCTAACAGCACGGCTGAATTTCGTTTAAACTATCAACAGCTCTTGGAAAGAAGAAAAGGTTTCTACGAACAGGTAATTAGTGTTCGCCCGAAACAGATCGTCCCTGTGCTCAACATTTCACTTGATATTCAAGAGCCTCAAGACCTAGCCTATGTGGACGTGATGAAGATACGCAAAGAACCGAGCGATTCGCTGGTAAGGGGTAATCCTCTAGCTGTGACTAGACAGGCATCGCCTAAATCGGTTTATATCGAGTACAGTCCAAGTGAAGAAGAACAAAAAAGGCAGGGATTTGATGGAATTGACGGAGACTTTATAGTAAGGTAAACAAGATTTGGTATGTGACCTTTGTAATTTAAAAACACAATTTAAATAATTTATACATTATAAATTTGCGTTGTACAGATCGAAGCAGACTGGAGAATTTAATACATTTCTTGGCAACTTCATAATTCTCTTTCCTTATCTTATTTTGCAATGCAGTTTAATTACATTCTATGCTCCTTTTTAATAGAAAATGCTTAGGAAACGCGCGTATATATGTTGCATGAGATCACGGAAGCATATAACGAATACCTGTATGCGAAATATGACTTACTGCATGCAAACTGTGGATAGAGGATTAGGGGCGACAGCCAAAGGCATCATTTTTCTGTAGAATTTTAATAACTGCCGCTTTTATTGTTTATTAGTTATAATGTGATATTATATTTTCAACTGTGATATTTTGAAGGTGATCTACTCCTCTTATGACACTCTATAGAAAACCAATATCATTATTTCTGATAGCTAAATTATGCAAACGTATATAAGATAACCATATTTATTATTCATTCGAAATATTTCTCCGTTTCTCATTGGCTAAAATCACACGCATAATTCATCATAACCAGCTACTGCTGACCAAATTTGAAAGAATTTTGCCATACTGAACCGATGACGTCAAAAGTGCAGCAAAGTTGCAGATTATTGAACCGTTAAACGACAAGACCTGGAGACCAGGTTGAGTTGTTTTGGTAGTGAAAACAAAAATGGCGGAACGTTTCACTTGTTTCACCAAGCAGAAATAGGCGAACTATTGGCTAAAAACATAGCAAGAACAGCAAGAAGACGACTCGAAGAACGACGTCTGTTATTTACAGAATATTTGCGGAGCTGAACAGCCCTTTATAGAGTCTAAACATGCCGATAAACATGCACTATCGAAGATGAACTTAACATCAATGGAGGTAAGCATGTTTTCTTTTAGCTTGTTTTCAAACTAGGAATTATTTTGAATGAACAATAATACAATTATTGAATTCGGCTTTGGTACGTATCATCTGAAGAATTATGGAGATATCGGAGGGTGTTATCCGCCTCGGCCGCTCGATGTCCATAATTTTTCAGATGATACTCACCCTCATTCAGTAATTCAGTTAAATGAAGCCTGCAAAGCATGGGAAACTTCAAGCTCTAACGCACTTATAAGTACTTTCAACAAACACTGAATAATTATTTTTGTATAGCTTTTAGTGACAGTTGCAGCTACAACTTTAAATTGCACCCCTTTGGTGTATCTCCCGCAGTTATAATGTTATCGGCATTCCGAAATCCGTGAAGTTTTTGCTTAATGACGTGGAGTCCGGAATTCTGGTCTTCAGAATCCAGATTGGGCTAAGGGATTCCGGAATCCAGCTAAAGGTTGGAATCTGGAATCCAAGTTCCACTGACATGAATTTAGAACCCATTCCTGGGGATTTAGAATCTACAGCGTGCAATACAAAATCCAAGGCTGTCTTCAATTACCTTTAAAATAACTAAGATAGTACGCGCGCTCTGATTGGCCGAGAGGAGTGTTTGCATGAGAGTATGTAAACATGGTTGTGACGTCAAGATGTTTTGCTTTTCGCGCGCTAATCACGCAAGCACAAATTTGAAAAAGTTTTTTAGTTCAAAACTCGACAAGTTGACTTTATTTATCCATTCCTTCGTCGACTGAAACTTTGAACATCTTTTCAAACAAGCTGTGTCAATTTTGACACTTTAAGCGAGAAAAATCCGTATTTTGGAAAGCATCTTTTTGCAAAACAAGAACTGATTACGTGTGCAAGTCTTCGTGTACACGACTTTGCGACTGGTAAGAATTTCTCTTTTAATCAGTGCCATAACAAAGAGTTTTGAGTTTTTCTCGGGAAAGTTATTTTATAAATAAAGCTTTTTTCCTGTGTTTGCATAAGTTTGCATAACTGTCTCGAATTCTCCCAACCTCTACCGTGTTTATATTAAGCTGTGCAAATACGGAAAACGTTTTCTATTGGTTCAATGGTGCGAGATATATACTATGCTCCTGAGATATGCGATAAGGAAATTATGAAGGTGGAGGTTCTGTTCCTTCAGCACTAATTCCTGGATCTCTTCCTAGGTATGATGTGCATCACGGGAAAGATGAAAGCGTTATACAGGTACTTGGCTCCTATTTTGTTCAGTTTTTCTCTCCAAGTGGATTAAACTCGATCGCAAAAAACGTGGTCTTTGTGATTGATGTAAGTGGTTCTATGTCTGGAGAGAAGATTTCTCAAACTCGCGAAGCCATGCACGCTATTTTAAGTCAACTCCGTCCGGGGGACTCGTTCAATATCGTTCTTTTCAGTGGCACGGTATCTGTGTGGAAGTCTAAGGTATCCCTAGTCGACGCTGGAAGCATACAGGCTGCGAAAACGTTTGTGGACGAACGAGTGAAGGCATCAGGTTCTACCAACATCAATGAAGCCCTGATTATGGCTCTCAATTTACTCAAGCACAGCATTCAACAATCAAACTCTGAAATCGCTGGCAAGTTTCCTATGGTGCTGTTTCTTACAGATGGGGAGCCAACGGCTGGAGAAACAAACACACCACAGATACGTCGAAACATTCTTGCCTCAAATGGAATTAAAGCGCCCATTTTTGCTCTTGGTTTTGGCTTTAGCCTGAACTTTGATTTCCTAACAGCATTATCCACAGAGAATGAGGGAACAGCGCGCAGGATTTACCAAGACAAAGACGCTGCAAGTCAGCTTGAGGGATTCTTTGACGAGATCAGCACACCTTTACTACTAAGAATCAGATTCGAGTACCCAGAAACCCTCGTGAATGAAAAACATACAACTGCACTTTCATTCGCACATTACTATAATGGATCAGAACTTGTGGTAAGTGGAAAGCTTAAAGAGGGTGTTTCCTCTAGGATGATGTCCATGAATATTCGCGGTTATGACGGCCAAAAAAATGTCACGTACTCTCCGGCGTCACGCACTCTTCTTGAGCTGACTATTCCCTCGAATGAATTGCTCATAGAGGATCTGACCGAGCGTCTTTGGGCCTACATGAAGATCAAACAATTACTTGTTCAGCTTTTGGTCTCTACTGATGCCCACGAACAAGAGCGTCTAAAATCTGAGGCGCTTCGGTTGTCACTGAAGTACAACTTTGTCACGCCACTAACCTCTTTCGTCGTGGTCCAGTCTGACGAGTACTTAGTAGCAGCGGACGCCAAGCTGGGCAGGGCTTACTCTACAGGACACAAAGTGCCTTTTCTTCGACTGTCATTCCTTTTGATAAGTTTATTCTTTTTTGTGTTTGTCGAATAGACCCTGATGCCAGTTAAAAACTGTTATATCGTAGGACGAGAAAATGAGTTTGCGCTGCTGACTCTCTCCAGAAACTGATTAAAGCATTTCAAATGTAAGACAATTAACATACTTACACAGCAATGCAAGAAAACAAGACAACTCCTAGGCCCGGTTCAGATGCCGAACTTTCATGAGCCGAAACAACTTCGAATTAAGGCCGACCCAAATTATTTAGATCGGCTAAATTGATTGAGACGCCGATCTTAATTCCAACCGAACTAAATTCAGAAGGCGAAAAATGCGCATTTTGGTCAAACTGCTTACAAAATACGTTATAAGAATTTATGCTTGTTTCGGTACATGAAAAGTTCGGCGTCTGAATCAAAGGAGTTCCAAAGTCGATCCAAAGGCGAAATTCCCGGCCGGGCTAGGCGAAAAGAACGGCTGAGCCGTTCCAAATTGAAATAGGCGTTCCTAATTGATTCAGACGCCGAACTTTTCATGTACTCAATTCAATGTATTAGGTTCGGCTCATGAAACGTACGGCGTCTGCACCGGGCCTTAGTCCGCTTAGTGCAATTTCAATTGCTATCTCCGATCCCCAGCAACATGTTAAGAATTTCACTCGAACGTTGTCATTACATTAATCCTAGAGTTACATTAGGATGAGCTTGTGTTTCTGCAAAATATAATGCTTTTCCCAGAAAGATAAGTGGGGAAAGGGACCATAAAAGCTTCGGAAGCCTTGCAGACCGTAAATGTGATAAGTCGCTTTTGTTTATTAATTAGAGACGAAAACTAAGTCAGTAACTGTGAACTCCCTCTAAGTGGAATAACCGAGAATGTGCCACTGGAACGGGGACTCATGGCTTTTAGGTTCTTGAATCTAGAACAAAGTATACAATTTTACTATATAGCATCTTGAACAAGGTTTCGTTCTGGACCATAGCCTTTAAAAGAATGTAGAGGTTGGTAGTGAGTGGTCTACATTTAGTGTACATTTATTTTGTGGTACCAATACTATTTTTTACAAACTATCTCAATCTAATATGAAGCTTTTTTAAGTCCTTGATTCTGTTTGCCAGACGAGTTGTACCAAGGTCACAATATAAGGTCTGTTGTGTTAAATAGGTTCAGGGCTTGGAGGTTTCAACTTCACTTGAGAACCCCCTCAAGTGGGTCAGAGGGTTGCAGGAAAATGTTTCTTTATCCATAGCGAAACCCTAGAAATAATAATTAAAATAATAATTTTAAAACAGCAATGTAACAAAGTGTTAAAATCAATTGATTTTTACTGAATCAATAAATCTCCTTTCCCAGTAAAGCGAGGTTCAAAATTTAAGGGGAACTACCAGTCAGGTACCGCGTCGGTTCTTATTATTATAAAAGAGGGTGCTAATGGGGGTACCCAGTTCTCAGTTAACTACTATTTTTTTGGCCAATTCTCAGTTAACTACTAATTTTGGTTAGCTACTAACTTTTACTTTCTGACAGCGAATATAGACCGGGTCATCAGTAGGACAGAAAAAAGACAGAAAACTGTATTTCTCTTAGTTTGCAAAACTTTGTTGCTTTGTCCCTTAAAATCAACAATCGTATTCAGTACAATTAACAGAACATCACTTAACTGTACATTTTTCATTTCTCAGTTAACTACTAATTTTTTGGCCAATTGTCAGCTAAACACTGTTTTTTTTGGCCAAATGTATCATTTAACGTTTGTTAAACCCCATTGCTTGAAAGCGTGAAAGTGATTCGAAATAGACAACACGGTTAATGTGGAATATCATCGCTGAAGAACAGGAGAAGCTAGGAGAAATCTTTCTGAGGCAGGATCTTGTTGAAAGTAGGGCTTCCGAATTTTACCATTAATTGGCTTTTAAACGAGGCGCATGAACCATCTTTTGATATGAGTCTTTGTTTAGCCTGCGAATACAGCAGTTTCACTTTGGCCTAATTCCTCACCGCTCAAGGGACGTTTCGCCTTAGCGGCTACTCAAGTACAACAGTTTAACAGAGTCGGAGTCGCTATAGCCTGTACACAGACGTTGTTTTATTTTTCTTCGCGTTCTTTTCGAAAACGTCGGCGCGCTCGCGAGCGTGCGAGAACTAGCGTGGATATTTTCTTCTCCCCCCACCCCTATATTTTATCACGCGCGCTCGACGGACTTTGAAGAGAAAATAGAGAGTCTATGAACAGGCTAGAGTCACTACAACAGAAGGGAAGCGGCTGAATGTATATAGAAAAGAAGAAAATGCAGCTTCTTAAGCCCTGAAATTCCTGAAAGCTGGCTGTCAAAACATTCACCTGGATATTTTGAAAGCCGATTTTGTGAAAAGAACATTTTTTTTGTCCCATTTCGTCCAGTTCTCTATTCGCTTAAGACGTCTACCAAAGGTTCCCGTTAAGCTTTTACTGACAAACAGCATTTCAGTAACAACAACAAAAACCGACAGCAGCTAGTATATGACGTGTTGAGTGAAAATCAACGGCAGAGAAAGTTGAACGAGTATTGCTTGCCAGTTCTTTCACTTTTCGAGGTAAGGGATATATTCATTTGCAGGAAACAAACTGAAAAAAGATGAATACAGACATTTTTTTCTGTTAAAATTCAGTTAACAGTGCGCTTTGTCGCCCGTTGCTTGATTGACAACTTTTAACACTGGAAACTGCGTTTGGATTACTAGCCGACAAAGTGGGCGGAATGACCTTTTGAAAACAAATCTCACAGTAATCTTGTACCCAGATCTCACTCTATTTTACACTTGGCCGTGGGAGATCTGGGTACGAGATTAATCTCACAGTCGTTCCCTCCTCTCTCTCTCTCCCTCTTTTCCTCCGTATCTTTTTCTCGCTTTCTTGCTTCGCGCCGCACTCCACTATCCGAACGCCTGGGACAGGCTATACTATCCAGGGGCACCCAATGGATCTGTTCCTCAAAATATCTGTTCTTGTCCGTGTAAAAACGACCGACCCTCTACACTTTCTTTATTATCAGGAACCTTCCTTTCACAACGACCCTTTTTCTATTAAGTCCCTGTCAGAGGGGATTTGAAGTCTAGAATAGCTGCTACGGGTTACTTGAATGGGTTACTTACCACTCAAGATCTGAATTGTGCCCTATGAAACTTCCCAGTAAGTCAGGTTGCAGGTTGTAACAATGAGGTTGCTGGCTGGGAACTCTTCCATCAGTCTTGCTGGGAGTGAGGAACAGATAATTTTTTTCCAGCAATCTCCCAAAATGCTTGAAATAGTCTCAGAAAACTTTATTCACGCTTTGTTGTTGTTTTTAGGTCTTTTTCTCAAAATTTCCCGTTGGGTGGCCCTGACTATCGCCTTCTCTGCTCGTTGCTGTTCCTTGAACATTCTTTAGATGAGCCAGATGGTGAGGTAGAAGGAAATAATGCCACCAAGAGAAGAGACCTAACTTTAACAGAACGAAAATTTCGAAGCATGGGATTCGTGGTTGGGTTCACCAGCTTGTCTGGACCGATTTGCTGCGCCCTCTATTATGTACCCAGGCTTGAAGTCCTCCCATGGGTCCACGCTCTTCCAATTGTTGTGAACTTGGCGATCATTGTTTTTGGATCGCTTTTTCTTAGGAACAATAACAAGAACGATATTTTATCATCGGAGGGACGGCACAAAGGGCCATTTGGAGTCAAAATACAAATGTGCTGCACTATTATAAAATAAAGAAAACCCATTTTGTCATAAAATCAATTTTCAGTGTATTGTTTCATCTAAGAAATTTCAGCTGAAAGGGAAATTATTCACAATTTCGACCAAAAGAAAAAAAGGTAAGGGGAGGGGTGAAAAGGAAAGGTGCGCTTTCACAAGATGGGGAGGTGGAGGGGGAAGGTTGAAGGTGGTATGAAACAATATACGTTCTTTGCCATAGCAACCATGCAACCATATTTTTACGTCGAAAACTTGTGACAGCCTGAGGTCCACGGTGCGCTTATTTTACCACTTCCCCGGCATCTCAACCAAAGTTCCGTTTTAAGGGTGTTTAAAGTTATTCAAAGCTACACAGAAAGGAGAAGAAGTTGAAAAAGGATATGATGTCACCGGAAATCGAACTCAGGATCTCGCGCGCGCGCATTTAACCAACTATTGATTACTGCAACTTACCTATTTTTTTATTATTATTTTTAGTTTACAGTTTTTTTTACACGAGAATACATGTTGTTTTAATCAAACGATCAGACATCGGCTTTTCATTTTCGAATACATTTTCAGTTTCTTATTGGTGTGGCGACTTCCTTTGGACACAGGAAATGGTACAACTGTAATCATGCTTAAATTTTAGTTTATCGAAGGTAGCCTGCTTTTAGCATTATAGCAAACAAAAGCGGAAGAAAGTTTACGCCGGTTTGGTGTACCTCAATGGTCCATCCTCTGAACTATGATCTTTAACATGTGTCAGATAACATCGATCCATCAACGGCTTGTTACTTGGGCGGAACTCCAAGTATAAGAATTGCGACGGCCAGATCGGTTTCAAAATTGTTTTTACCGCGACAAGATTAGGCACGCAAGTCCCTGACTTTTCGGAGCGATTTCTTCCGATAATTGGAGTAAAATCTCGCAAAAGTAATTGGAATTGACGGGTTTTGCAACAGACGAGAGTTTGAGCAAGTTTGTTCCCTCTAGATCAGATGTGGCAGCCAAAGGAGATGTCAACACTTGACACACGCGAAAGGAGACGTGAGAATAAGGTGCTGGGATAGAAAAGGAGATCTCTTATTCTTCTCTGCACCTCACGGCTTTGCTGCTCACTCGATCGCGGGTTTACTTGCCACTGGAAATGGAGATGTTACTCCCAGACAATAAGTAAACATTTCTTGGTAGTCGTGCTCGTTCGCCATTCGATGAGCTAGTTTATGTTAGGAATTCCGAGGAAAAATTCGAGATGTTTACATACCAAGCAAAGTCTACTCTACATCTCCTTTTCCACCAATCTCAACCAACTCTTAACAAATAACAACAGTACTACGGCACTCACACGTACCTGACACACCAAAAAATCATCACATACGCGTGACACAACGACGCTCAAGTGTACACCCCGATAGCGTCTTGTTCCCAATAAGTATTGGTACATCCCTCTACACCCACCGTGCAGTAAAGGAACTAGAATTAACGGCGAGCAACTTGAACGCTTGGCTCGTCAAGCTTGGATCTAGTAGTTTTGTTCTATCCGTCCACTTACTGAAAATAATACCCTGCTCAAAACGAGGGTAAAGTTGCTGTAATGCTAGATACTGTAATTTCACCTTTTTGTAAAAGCAGATGTAAAGAATCAACCATAAGAGGACACAGAAAAAATCTGAGCCCTAGATGGGATTCGAACCCACGACCCTCCGTGTTCTAGATCGGATGCTCTGACCTCTGAGCTACTGAGGACTCGTTGGCGAGCAAGGGTCATTTTTGTGGGTTGGACTTGCGAACCGCATCTCTCAGTCACACAGTCCATCACAAGCAACACATTAAGGCTTAACTGTATCACACAGTCACATTAATAGCAAGAAATGTCTCACTCATGAAGGAGCCTCCAACCACACTGATATTAATCAGGTTCGCAAGTCCAACCCACAAAAATGACCCTTGCTCGCCAACGAGTCCTCAGTAGCTCAGAGGTAAGAGCATCCGATCTAGAACACGGAGGGTCGTGGGTTCGAATCCCATCTGGGGCTCAGATTTTTTCTGTGTCCTCTTATGGTTGATTCTTTACATCTCCCTTTATTTCCTTTATTAATATCAGTGGCATAGGTTTGTAAAAGCACTCTTACTAAAATGATAATCAAGTCCTAATCTCAGCGTCCATTATTGGAATTTATTACATAAACGCCAGTGAAATACCAGAAGAGCATTCTCTCGAAAAACCTGATATCAGAGCATGTTATCTTCACATTTGAAAAGTTCACCGTTGCTATGGTTAAATTAAATTATCTTTGGTATTGAGAAATATTTCACTCAAAGACAAATTTCGTATCTCCACCCGGCCATAAAATATCCTCTATTTCTGTGATGTCTAAACCGTCCGTTGTCGGCTTCACACTGCGTGTCATATGATTCAGATCGAGTTTGGTGCGCACCTCTCATTCATAAAACACTGACCATTTGGTGTTTCTAACAAACCAGTTCAAATGCAAAAAGGCTAGGAGACCATAAAGTGGGTATCTCTAGGATATAGTTAAGTAAAATTGTTAATGAAGATACGTATATTCTACTAAATTTTTTATTCTATAATATAATAGTTATTATTATTATTATTATTATTATTATTATTATTATCATTATTATTACACATAACTATCGTCATTATTGTCATAAGAAACACAGAGCTATTAAAGACTCGTTGTTTTATAAGCCTAGTAAATGCATGGGTTATGGCGAAATTAAAGAGGAGTGCTTTATTAGCTATCCAAAGATTGAGAAGGGGTAAAAGTCCTATGAAGAAGCAGCCGATTTTTTTTCCACAAAATAATAAATTCATTGCTTTCAGAACTAAGAGTTGGCTATACAGTTGAACCTCTCCACAGCAGTCAGCATGGGACAGATATGAGTGGCCGTTGTAGAGAGGTGGTGGCCGTTAGTGGAGGTTCGGCTGGATGTATACTAAACGCTCCTCAGATCCTAAACAGAATAGCCTACTACAAGCCCCCACCTCACCCCATAACTAAAATGGATAGGGCTTGTATGACGAACCTCTCGAACAACTGCAACGCTCTTGGACGAGTTGTACTTTATGGATTTTGTGCTTCATTTCTTCCTTTTTTGCCACTTTGTGCTTATAAAAAAATAATTATTTTACCAGTCAATTTATCCTTAGGACTGAAAACAACGGTGCCCAGCACTTGTTAAACGTTTTACTAGAAGACTGTTAGTAGGCAATTTTTGGACATACAAACGGAAAACGTTTTGCCTTCTAATAGAAGGTATCTCAACCTAAAGCATTTCGCCATCAAACAGGGCGTGACTGGTGACGTGATGACGGGACGAGATTTTGTTGGTGTTAAAGAACATGTATTTGCAATATAATGTCCCAACAGCCGAATCTTGATTCTGTCAAACCTAAAGAGGTTTGAACCCTGCACGATATACCATTGGAAATGACTTACATTAAATGTTCTTCCACAGCCATTTTTAACTGAAAAGAGGTGTTACCTGTTAAATGTAAAGCCTTGTTAAAGAAATCTATCTTGCATTAAAGTATTTCTTGGCCTTTAACCTCGTGTTTGCTCTCACACTTGGTTTCGTTTTCACGTCATTTGACATTTTTGTAAGCCCAAATGAACGCTTTTTTCTCTCACTGGTTTTCTGTGATTTTTTCCAGGCATCTTAACCTGTATGAAATTTATTTTTTTGTTTTCCTCCACAAACTCGCTCAATATTCCACGTGTTTTGACGTAGGAGACGTTGGTACAAATGATGAGTGAATACCGAAGAACGCAACTGGTAATTTACCGGCGTGACAGCCATAACAAGTGAAACTTGATTGCATCAAATGTTCTTCCACAGGCATTTTTAAATGAAAAGATTATTGTTACCTGTTAAATGTAAAGCCTTGCTAAATATATATCTTGTATTAAGCATCACCACCTGCCCAACAGAATCGGAACTGAAATCTCTAAATAACTCTAAATAACAGGATTTTACTAATTCTTAGGTTCACACATCGCAGACCCTGAAAAAGACTTCAAAATAAGATTAGGAACTAGCGCAGAACGTATGCAATAAACTTCAGAAGATGTGGCATTCTAATCTAGCAAATTCATTGTTGAGAGTCGAGACACTGAGAACGCTTGTAGAGCCTGTCCTCCTGTATGCCTCAGAAACTTGGTGACTCTCAACAAGACTGGAAAAGCTGCTCTACGGTTGCTATACAAACCTTCTGATAAGAGAACAAAACATCAACTGGAGGACCACGCCACGCTTGAGAGGATCTATGGGAGACTTGGTAACACCTCTATCCGTCTCCAGCGTCTCCAGTTGGAGTGGTGATTACTATAGGGCAGATAAAGAAATAATCTCGTCCCTCATCCTCTTGCGCCCAGTGGGCAGAGTGCATTCACGTCAACTAACATACCCCGAAGTGACTGCGAGGGATTCAGGAATTAACTAAGTTAAGACTGAGTACAGCGATGGCGAGTCGTTGTGTGAATGACCCGTCCACTCCGGAGATCGAAAGATGAAAATCAAACTCTAATTTCCAATAAGAAAATACTATCATATCTGAATGAGACTAACTAGAAATTTTTCGCTGGGCTTCTTCCTGTCGAAGGTAGGACTGCACGGATCATTAGTCTTTTGCTCGTCCTCAAGCTAAACTCCAGGTGCCCTGGAGTGATCAAAAGAGGTGTCTAGTTTCAAAAGAGCCACAAATCACGAGACGCCTACAGAAATGCGGTTTGTTGAATAGATGTCCCAAATTATTAATTTCCCACACCATAACAAGTAGGCGTATTACTGCTGAGCGAAGCTACAATACAGGATCTTGGAGATGCATCTGTAAAACATCAGGGGCACCCAACGAGAATATAGTTCAAAACCACTTAAACATAGCATTGTTAACCGTATTTTAGTATTTAAACGGTAGATATAGGCATATTTTTATCCCCTAAAAATTTTTCATCTGTTCGGATTTGCTAGCTGAAAGTCTAGTGATCCGAAAATTATAGGGATCAAAACTTACCTTTTCGAAAATTCCAGTCAGAAAAAAGGCTCCTGAAAATCTAGGTGACCTTTTTAGGGTAAAAGTAGGTTAAAAATAGGCAGTTATACCATTTCTTAGATGTTCGAAAATCCTAGGAGAGGCAGGCAAGCAAGAAATTTTACAACAAATGTTCCGAAAATTCTAGATCTCATATCGTCTTCCGAACAGATATTTTCCGAAAATTGTCCTTGGGTGCCCCTGAAACATGCGCACTGCTGTAGTTGACTTTCCAAGAAAGCAACAGTACCAGCATGTCATTTTTTAAGGGTCACTGACAAGACAGTTTTAATCTAGGTTTCATGCCAATGCCGGCATAAATTATAGAAGCCTTGAAATGAGTCAGACGAAGCTTTTGAGCAGCGGAAACTTAGACTGGAGTGAGATCATTCCGTATGAATTAACAGTCTCTCCCCACGATCGAAACTCAACAATCACTGCCTCTGAAGTGATCATCGCGTCTGCTTCTGGACTGTTTTACTTCATTTTATTCATGGTCGGCGTCCTTGGCGTTTGGATCAAGTCCTGCGCCAGGTTATGCTCCTCTCAAGGAACTTTCTTCGTTTTCTTTATTGGCGTGTTGATCGCTTCCGTAAATGTCTTCACCAATTCAGACAACCTAGAGGTCAGACTCTACTTCCGTTCATCTTCAGCCATTGTTATTGGCATAGCTTACTTTCTGTTTGGAGCTTTTCTTTTCTTTTCAGTGCCAAGGGAAGGAGAACACCCACGGACGATGGGCCACCAACAGCCTTCGATGGGGTGTGTTATCGGAATGATAACATTGCCCCTGTTTTTAATCGAAGCCTTGCTTTTAACTTTTACCTGTACAAAGGAAACTAAGAAGTCGTTCGAGGCCCACGATCCTTCTGGGGAATTATGGATTTTAGTTATAACAGACAAATCAGTATTTCTCCTTCAAAAGTCTATTCAGATGGGCATGTATTTTTATCTGCGTGCCACGACTCTTGTAAACGACGAATACAAGGATACCGCCGAGTTTTATTTTAGACTACTGTCTTTCTTCAACTTGATCGAGTGGATTGACGCTCAGGTGAATGGGGATAATGATGTTTTATTAAGCGGACCCATTATTGCAAAACTAGATGGCTGGTTGGACGTATTCATAGTACTTTATAAAGCTTTGATTATTGATTACCGTTTACTATGTAGCTTGCTCTTCCTGGAACATTCCATAGAGATTGCAACTGAAGCCGCCGATGAGAACCAACAAAATAATGCTCCAACAATTAGTAACATGACACCAAGGAATCAACTGAGAATGTGTGGTGGATATATGATGGGTGGTTTGTTCCTTACTGCCCCTCTGTTCTGTGCCCTTCAATATCTGGACATCCTTAATATAAAAGGATGGGTGGAGATATTCGCCATTTTTGTCAACGTGGCAATCTTAATTTTTGGAACATGCTTTCTTCTTAGCAATAACTTAGAGGATGGTGGAAATAAAGAAGCACCTGGGGTGAAGACCATGGTAAGTTGATTTGCTGATTTTACTAAACCTAGGCCTAGTGCCTAAATCCTCTAGCTTGGCTTATAGTTGTTGCTAATGAAAACGGTTAAAATAATCTGATTTGAGAATGCACCTTCGGAAATACGAACTTTTCACTTCAATATTGACAACATTTATCTTTTACTTCGTTTATTTACAATAAGAGGTTTGTTTATCTTTATGCTTAATTTAGCTACGATTATTCAATACTATTACGAGATATGACTTTATAGGAGACCAAGACTTTAGGAAATTTAAATGAAATGTTACGCCGTTTACTAGAACAAACTGCTAAACAAATGTCATTGAGCAAAATTTTATAAACAGTAAAAGGTTGACTTTTTACTATTAAGTTATAATATTATTACACAGCAGGTTGCAATCCGTTTACCCTTTATGTCAACTTGGATCGAAGAATTACAGTCAAACCTCCATTTGCGACCAGCAGTTTGTAAGCGACCACCATCATATATCACAAAAATTTTTATCCTGTAATAGAGTCCTATTTTTAAAACTTCTCGAAAATTACCACCTCTTCTGCGCGACCACTTTCTGGGCTGACCATTTTATAGATTTGCATAGCCTGCGTAGCATGGCGGTTTTGGTTGGGCGCGCTGAGTAACATAGGCGGCGGTCAGGCGGGCGAGGGCAGAGAAATCGCGAGGAGATTGGGGCGGGAGTTATTTTTCTCATGGCGTCGCCGTTTGTTCGATCGCCCTTTCGCGCGCGTTTTGGCGGCTTCGCCGCTCAGTAGTGCTCCCGACAAAACCGCCATGCTACGCAGGCTAAGATTTTCGTTGCTTTGGATCTCTTAGATGCAATCACGTGATGCAATTATTAGTCTGTTCTCTTCGCTTATGTATGTCACTACGCCACGCACAAGTATACGAAAAACTTTACATGACAAAGTGGAACTACACGTATGGTAGCTTAAAAATAGCACGCAATAAATTCTGTTCTAAAACGTACACATGTGTGAAGATCTTCTTAAAATTGGCCCCCTATTGTTCGATTCTCGTAAGCGTTTTTGGATGGTCTCTTACGGGAGGTTCGACTACACTTGCATATTCTAAAAAACTATGGTCATAGATTGCTAACCGTGCAAGATTCCAAGGTTTAAAATACATAATATTTAACACAAGAGAAAGATTTCTGACATCGGTGTCCAAAGACCTTGAGCTCGATTGCCCCTCCATTTCTTCAATACACTTTTCTTTTTCAACCTTTCTTGTTTCTTATTTTTACATCACAATGTATTTAAAAAAATATGATATTTGTAGCGACTAATCTCACAGACCGTACAGAAGAAGAAACCACAAAAGCTGAAGACAGGAGCCGATTCGGCTCCTGCTGAAGAGGATTATCTTCAACTATTTGTTCTTCGAAGAGAATCAAATTCTTATTGAATTATCTTAAGACGTTTTCTCTAACATTTTCTAATCTTTTTTTTAGGTTTGCTGCTTAGGTGCAGTTGGATTTATTTGTTGGTTGATAAAAGGAGCCATTGCCGCTTACTGGGCAGCTACTGCGCATGACCGAGCTGAATGGGATGCTGCAAAGTTTTGTTTTCGTGGATGCACAGCAGCATTCCTTATGTATTTACTCATGAAAGTTAACGCAAAGGCCCTGCCGTTACAAAATCCAACCTCGACAAAAAATCACTTTTTGGTTCCCATTCTTCTGTTAGGCATGTTTTCCATGTTCTTGGCAACGTTGATTGATCAGTACCTTGGACCGTTCGAGAAAAAACTCAGGTTATACAATATTTATTCAGTTTATCATTCTGAAACGCACTTAATTATATCTGGAGTGTAGAATCAAATTTTAATTCTCAAACGGCAAACAACAGGTTCAAGTTGCTGACAACTCTCAAATTAGAAAATGAGCAAATAAATAGATCAGTTTTGGATGAAACTATTAATTTTTGAGGAGATATAACGAACTGTTAACCAGTTAAGAGAAAACGTGGTCACGTGATGTTATCGTTTGCGTAAACGAGATTGTTAAATCTCTCCTATAATTTGGGAATAACTCTGAACTTGTCATCTAACTGTCGTGAACGTTCCGTTTTGATGTTTCCAAAGAAACATTAACTATTTGAGAAGTTGTATCAGACACCCAAAGTATTTCACACGCTAAATACGTCAAACATAAAAGAAAATGGCAAAAACATTCCCTCTCCATCTCGCGTCTGTTTGTCTAAATACTTGCTGAAGTGTCCTCCTAAATTATCTGAGGCTCTTCGGGCAAAGTAAGCTTGAAATCATATCGTTTTGCAAGCCTAAAACCAGAGAGATACGCTTCTCCGCAGGCTTCTCTGTGTTTTCGATTTTGGATCAAAAATAACAGAGCGTTTCAGTTTCATCATTACTTCAAACGCGATGAAAACAGCGGTATGACCAACTTCGAAATCTTGAAAATGAGAAGTACTCAGAGGGAGCTGAGTTACGTGCTTTTCTGTTTGTCGTGATCCAATGAAACTACACTGTTTTACAGTTTTTGAAATCTGTTAATACCCAAACCATCAGTACAGGGAGTGATTCTCTCTAAGATAGCATACGACATTCTTTGGTCCTCCAAATTAATTGCTTTCCTGAATTAAGAGCGGTAGGGACCTGAGCTCATAATGCTGAACTCTTGAAGTGCGGTTCTTGGGTGTCCTTTAAAAGAAAGTTTACTGAAACGTCAAACCACAAGTTTGTCAAATTTGCATAGCTAAGATATATCTGAAGTAGTATATCTGTAGTAGGCTTTTTCAGGTTATTTCGCACCCATTTTTTTATTTAGAAAACGGAAATACGAAAGTGGAAATGATCGTTGCAGTTGAATAAAAAACCTAATAAGTTGAAAAAAACCTGAAAAAAAAAATTCAGTGGTCTGCTATCCAGTTGGCTTGATTAGCTTAATGGATAGAGCGTTGCGCCCGGTCATCGCAAAGGTGGTGGTTCGATTCCTGGTCAAGCCTTATTTTTTTTTCAGGTTCTTTCATATCTTTATCCGGAGTTCACAATATGAGTCACTTCATATATTTCCAAAACTGAAACACGTTGATAAGAAAGGAATATCTATAGTTACATGCGCCTTGCGATTATCAGGTTGAGACCTCGAGATGTTTGAAAAGCACGATTTGAATAACGATTTCCGAATTCCTCCCTAGGCGACTTTATATCATTGTCTCATCTTAAGGTTTTTCTCTTATTCGTAGAAGTGAAATCGATGAACAGAGCTTGGAGATTCTCTTGGAGGCTGGTCCACCAATGTATCTTGGATTCTTGATTCATCTGGTTTTGCACTTTATAGTAATCCAATCAAGAATCCGCAGACGACGACAAGCTAACGAAGGTGATGGTGGTGATGCCGTGGATGACAACTTATTAGATATGTCTTTGGATTGAGCTGTAATCGCAGCGAACATTCCAATTTAAATCAACTTTAGTCAATATATGTATAAAAGTGTTCATGATTATATCACGTTTAACCCACTACTAAACACGAGTAACTATGTCTATCAAAAAATCCAGGAATTTCCAAAGGAAGCCTTTCGTCCTGATGAAATCCCCAGCAACTCGCACTGCTGTTAAGAAGGCCACTATATAGCCATAATAGTAACAAGAATTGTCCCTGATGTACAAAGTACCGTTGATACCACCCATTTTATTATCAGCCATGGACAGGATCCTGATTGTCGGTCTTATTGGGCCCAAACAAAAATCCATGTTTAATACGTAGCGCTCAGGGCCTCTGTCTCCCATTTGTAAAACTTCTAGGTCAACGGAAATAGATGATATGAAAGTAACGACCCTCTTTACTTTAAGATTTAGCAGCCTTTTCTATCACTACTTTCACGAGGTCGCTACTTTCGGGTAGCTAAATCGTGTACCGTACATGGACGGTGGGAAGCTAAGATAATACTTTCACGGCAATTGTGAAAACATCCGGCACACTTTTTATTTGGAGAAACTTCTTTCATGCTATATTGCTTTGTAAATGAATATTCAAAAGAATTGTCTGATTACGGTGTGGGTATTCACAGACGAAAGGAAGACTTTTTTTTTAAAAAAAGAAAAGGATGTAATGTACCTTGTGAGTTACATCAGGATACATAAGGGAATGTAAAAGATCATTATGACCTTTAAAAAATAAATCTCGGATCGTTTCGATAAGCTTGTTGTAACTATAATTTCCGTTATTTCTCTCACTACTCTCGAAGGGTCGCTACTTTCAGAAGGTCGGTACTTTGGGAACTTTGCGGTATGTTGATATCCGAGGCTCCTTATGAAGGGGTGGGGGGGGGGGGGTGGGGGGGGGGGGGCTAATAAAGGGGCTGGCGCGAAGAAAGAGGCAAAGCGAGCGGGGACTGAGGGGGGGTTGGGACGGGGGAAGTGCTCTCCCTCCCCAATATCTGGC